TACAAAGGGAGTTCATGTGAATTACATTATCTACCCTAATAATTAATTTTAATGACCCAAAGTGCACTGCTTTTCTTTTAATGAAGTAGTTCAACTAGAAGATGTGTGCTGGGGTAGTCTTGACTCCCATCAGCATCTCCAGTGCTTGCAGAGCCATTCCCTAAGACAGTGACAAGAGATACAGTGTCCCTTCAAACATGACACAGATCACTTGCATGGGATGCAGGTGTTTCTGCATGGCTGGGACTTCCTGAGATGCGCATTGCTGAGGTCTTTGGGTTGTAAGACCAGCTTGCTTGGGGTGGCAGTAGCAGAGTCAAGGGCCCCAAAGGAAGAGAGAGGTGTGCCACATGGTAAAGTTACTGCTGGAAAGGGAGAGGAGTTCCTAGGGAGAAAAAACTTGCTGCCATATAAATCCCTTTATGTGTACAAATCTGTGCACAGTGTGATGAATATGCATTGTTGTACACTACCCAAGAAAATTTAAGGAAGGGGTGGGGGGAAATTTCCTTTATCAGAATAATCCTGTAACACATGCAGTACTTCTTAATGTGGGTGAGTTTGGGATTTTTTTTTTTTTATTTTTTTTTTAGATATTGAATATTTTTTATTATTTTAATTGGGAAAGGCCTGATAAGAGATAATATACACTTCACATGTCAAAGAACATGTTAAAGCTTTTTTATGCATATGTGAAACCTAGTTATATGTCACTTTATATGATTTTCTTTTAAAATTTTATTAGCTGGATTTTAGTGCTCTTTGAAGTAAAAGTGATAGCAACCAGGTGCATTAAAGGATAGATGACACAACCCTGCCGACACACCTATGTGACTAATTCCCACATTTTCAGTCCCTGCCATTAGTGCAGCATCAGACCCCTGCTTTGTGCTGTCGATACGTTGGAGACTTTCCGACAGAAACCACCAGCCTGATTTTGAGATCTTAAGCTTTGTTTCATTCCTCTAAAGTGAAACGCTGACTAAAAACAAACCCAAAACATTTCTCCTCACAGATTTTACATTTTTGTTCACATGATTTTTCTCTAATGCTTTTTAGTTTTGATGAGATTTAAAAGAAAATTAAAAAATAAATCAACCAAACCCTGCCCTTCACCTGCTTTCTGACTCAGCCTATTGAAACCTTACCATGGCTGTTCAAATAACATCTGGAGGGAATGACAGTTTGTCTGTTAAACAATCAACAATATACTTATTTATGAGGATAATGAGAGGCATAAAGTACCTCTCATGCAGCCACTGCTGCTTGTACCTGCACAAGCCAATTAATGTTTAAAGATTTTAAAATTTTCCATGACTAGTTTCAAGGGTTTTGTAGTTGTTTTTTTTTGTTTGTTTGTTTGTTTTTTTTTTTAACACTCCAACATAGTGAAGCAAAGGGTTTTGCAACCTGAGTTTAAAAAAAGCAAAAGCTTTATATTCTTCAAGCCTTTGATCCCAACTCTCAGTCGTGGGAAAAAGAAGTCATCTTCCGTGAACTGTGAGTAGGAAGCTGTGAGGGAATCGGCAGATGAGTATGAAAGTTAGGCCTTGTTTATCCTGGGGATTAAGTCATTTGTGGTCAGTAACCAATGCAGCTGGGCTGCTGCAGGCTCCCAGTTCACATCAGATGACATTGCTGAAGTGAAAATCGTAGACATGTTTGGCTGTTGGTGATTTTTTTCCCTGGCTGTGTGCATGGAGACATTTCTCTCCCTACTGGATCAGGGTGAATCTGTACCAGGAACAAATTTATTACCTTGGGCTTCAGGTTTCCAACATATCAGGTTGGAGCAGCCCCCCTCCTTGGGCAAATGGAAAACTTTGGAGAAAAAGGGTTCTGAAGAGATTGATCAAAACTATAATTTTGTGGGTGTAGCGATAAACAGCCAAGCCTGAGCTGCAGAAAAGAGCTGCTCAGCATGGCTGCTACTTGGTGTTTCTGAGGTCTTGAAGAAGACAGCAATCAGAAAGTAAGGAAGTGAAGGGGGAAAGAATACCTAAATTGCTGCAGTGATCTGTGTGAGCACTTTAAACATCTGTCTGCATTTGGAAATATCTTGGGTTGTGCTCTGAAAGTATTAAGGCTTTTTCCAAAGGTGATTTTATTGTCAACTATTATCACAGCAGCTTTATTTTTTTCTATGAGGCACATGGTTAACATCTTTCTGTGCTTCTAAATATAAACTTGCTTCCCGGTAGTATTATCCAGGTCTTATTCCTTCTGTTTTTCTTTCCTTTTTTCTGCTCCTCTCTTCTCCCTCTTTCTCCTTTTGTCACTGGCTGCGTTCAGTTGATGAGGCTTTGAGTTACAACTGGATGCTGCAAGGATGCATTCCTTTCATGATCTGTGCAGAGTTATACCAAAATTTTATGTGAAGTTTTACTTTCGTGGAGTGTTATATAGCGACTTTTTATGTGTCTAAGAAATGGAAACATTTTGTCTCATATAAAAAAAAAAAAGACGACATATTTTTATACTGTGCTCCATTCACAGACCACATCAGAGGTAGTCTAAGAATAGAATAGATCAAATATATTTTATGGAAATATAATGAGAAAAGGATGTGTTCCCAAAACTCACTCTGAACAAAGGAATGCAACATAGTCAGGAATACTTTAATGCGCCTAACAATTTTCTCATGTGAAAGGCTGAAGGAACAGTCTTGGTTTGAAGAAATCTTCCAATTCTCCCCAGGCACCCTGAACTTGAAATCAGAACTAGGAAAGCTATATATTACCAAAAAAAAAAAGAAAAAAAAAAAAAAAAAAAGGTATGGAAAAAGTGACTGAGGGCATTAACCATAAAAGACGTTTTGAAAAGAAAAAAAAACAGCAATATGAAACATTTTGTCATGTTTCATTTCATTGATCATATATTTATTTTATGTGCTCTGGAGCGCTGAAGCTTATATGTATACCATTTCAGAAACCTCATATTAGACCTGTCGTTCTCTTTGTGGTGAAAACTAAATAGTGAGAAAAAAATAAAATAGATTACAATTATTAAATTTGGGATGGATTCCATTGGATTGTGCTTAGAAACTTTAAAATTGAACTTAGAAAATGAGATATAACATTAACAGCTATTAAAGATGCTGCCTGTGTGACAGATAGAGAAGTAGGAGGTACACCTACATGTAAAATAACGCATCTTTTCCAAAGTAATGCAATATGTTCACCTTAAATAGGCTTGTAATTAAAACTGCCAGTGTTCATTAGATCAACCATGTAGGAAAGATGCATCTGTATTAGTTCTAATTAAATCTATTTTAAACAAGTTGAAGATACAGAGGGTTTTTTTTCACTTCCCAATACAATGGAATGTATTTCATCTGCTGTACATAGGGTAGTACAGATCTTTGTTTAAAACTCTCAGTCTTTTCTGTGGCTGGTCTCTGATCCCAGGTTACCTCTGCTCAGATCTGGACTTCTTTCCTAGACAAAGCCTGCAGTGATTTAAAATAGGGTAGTTACAGGAACACAGTGGACGAGATCAGATCACTGATCACTGAATTATTTTTAGCATTGGTGAGAAAAATGAAAGCATTTTTCATAACTCAAGCTCTTGAGTTACTGGTCTTCATGTGTTTTCCAATAAATATGGTTGGCTTAGAATTTAGCAGTGGAGAGAAGTGGGGTAGGGAAAGGCATGAGCTTGGAGAGCTTTGGCAGCGCCTGGCTCATTCTCACAATTTTGTCCAGTATTGGGCGGCAGTTCTCACACTTGCTATCTTTGAAGATTGTTGGTATAAGGCCCAATGAGATACTTTGTTTTCAAAATTCCCTGTTGGAGCCTGACACCACTACAGATGAAAGTTACACTCGAATGGAATAAGGATTTGGCCCTAAGTGGGCAATCTTCAAATGCTAATGAAGTCCCACCATAGTGGTAATATGTGCAATGGTATTTTATGCAGTTCAGGTCTCTGAACAGTCTTAAATGGTGCAACTCTAGGGGAAGAGTATCCACCCTCTCAGTGCAGAGCAGATTGTAGGTGCAAAGAAAAGGAACTGGCTAGAGAATTTTACCTTCTCTCTACTGCTGAACCATGCTGTTGGGTTTTTCCTTCTCATGGCCCTGATGGTTTTGGGTAGGCACATACCAAAACCATTTTCTTCAAGGCAGGATGTGTTTGGAAGCACAAAGGTTCATCACTGGGGGTTCTCCAGCATGGGGTGATGGCCAGAGATGCTGATACACCTCAGGGGACAGTGTAGGTCTGTTACTTCAGGCCTCTCTCCTTGAGCCCGGCAGCCAAGCAGCTCAGGATTGATGCTCATGGCTCTGAGTATGCTAACTTTCTTTTTCAGACAACCTGAATGCACTAGAAGCCTCCAGGAACTGAGAGCGCTGTGTTTAGGCTTGTAACACAACTGGAAAAAATAAGTTTCGCTACATTTTCTTATTGATTTTCTTTCTTCTAGTGCAACGTTTTCAATTTAAATTTCAGCAGACTGAGGCACAGAATGGGAAGAAATGTTCTGAGCTGCACAACTGGGAAAAGAGCCTGATTTTCTGATTCTCCGTCCATGTTGTCCAATTAAATTTTGTCACTGTCTTGCGATTTCATGTCCAGTGCAGTATTGCTTACACAGAAATGCTAATTATGGAATAAGATAAATATGAAAATGCCTATATTTAATTAATGTTATATAGTATATTCAGGAAGAATATTTCCCCCCCTTAAAATTGTATTAATTAACATGAAAGAAAATCTTCTGCTGTTTTTTTATTGTCGCAATATAGAAAAAAAAAGTCATGCTAAGATTGGACTATATTTAACTTCCATCTATCTATGGTAGAAAATTTTAAAATTATTTTATTAAAATTTATTGCTCCTTTTTATCTCATAAGGTTTTCCTTTTAAGTGCTACTGAATAGTGATATAATCTTTAGAATATTAGCTAACAGGTGATAAATACTTAATTTTTGCTGTCTGGTTTTATGTCTCGTCTTTTTATATTTCTTGGCTGAAGAAGAAATCTTCCACCTTCCAGAAACCTGATATTTTGGACCAGATCCCTCTCTGAACAGGTTGTATCCTGCCCTTTTCAAAATCAAGCTATCAGAAGATGCCCTTCAGCAGAAGTGTTAAGAGGACTTGGTGAGCTTAACATGTTTCGCCTGCTTAATTTAATTTGAAAAAATTCAACCAGAAAATGAAGTTATTAACAGGTTGGTACATTCAGAGATAAGATGATGTCACAGAAAAGCAGTCAAGTGGGTTGCTTGTCAAAATATAAAATATGTATCTGTCAGAATCAAATGATAGATAAGCTGTGGCTGGGTGTAGGATGCAGTGAAAATAGTGTGCTAAAAATTGAAACCAAATCCCACCAGTCTGGAGCACAGGCTTTTAGTAACTATTGTGGTGATCAGCAATATAACAGTTCTGGGGACATGAACTACTCCATTTAAACACAGTATGCATCCTTTCTTGGCACCAGTAGCCAGAAGGATGCACATGAGCACTGAACCTCAAACAGGGGAGACCTCGAAAGTGTGGTTATTTCTACAGACGACTTCAAAATTGGGACACCCTCAGGTGTGCTCAGGTGTGCTCAGGTATGCCCAAATGAAGATTAATAAATCTTTCCCTGGGTAACTTGGGAACTTTTAAGTCCTTAAAAATGTTAAAATAGAGTGTGTCTAGCCAACCTGATGAGTCTGTTTGTATTAGAGAGATTCAGATCAAAGAGAGAAGTCTCCAGTGTATTCTCCAGGAGCACATACATGTCATGTCAGCCACCGGCCTCCTCCTGCCTTCTGGGTTGCCATATGAAATAGCTGGCACTAGGAGTTTGAAGTGAATAAACTTGGGAATTTTACATGCCGTTTGAAGTCTCATATGAGTAAAACACAATAGGCTACTAGCAAGGAATGCAGTCAAAGTTTCAAATACAGTGATGGAAAAATGAAAAAAAATACCATTATAATAAATGTTATCAGTGAATTTGGGGAAATGATCCTACTTATGTGGAACTTCATTCACTGCAAGCTTCAAGATAGAGCTTTTAGACTGTAAACTCTTGGGGACACCTATGAAACCTCTCTCTTTGCTTAGGATCTTCATGATGCAGGGTTTAACTGTGGCAGGGAACTCTCGGGGATAGCAGAATACAAATAATAGAAGCCCTAAATAAAATGCTGCTCTTATATTTAAAGGTCAGAACAGACTACTCTGACCTCTTGATCTCTAGGCCACAGGGCTTTATTCCACCTTGATATTTCTAATTTATGCTTCATCTTAGGCAGTTCTTAAGCCTCAGCTCAAGAAATATTCCTCTTCAGGAGAGAATAAGTTTTAATATGTTGTTATGATGTTAATTTTTTCAGTGTTTAAAATGTTTTCATCAAAAGTTCTTTAGCCTTAACTTGCAACCTTTGGATTTTGATTCTTCACTTGAATAAATTTACAGCAAAAGCCTTTTTTTTTTTAAGTTAGATTTTTTTTTCTCCCATACATCTTATTGCGTGAATGCCAGAACTGAATGCTGCTTTTTTTGTTATTGTTGTTATTGTTGTAATGACTTCCTTGGTGCTGCACGCACAGGACGCATCAGCTCTCTGCTGCTACTTGTTATCCTCCATTGTATGTACTCAAGGATCACATTCATCCTTTGGGACTTCATGCTGTTGGGATTATATGTATTATGCTTACTCTGTAGCATGCTAATTATTTATTCAGCAATAATTGTAATGGTGATATGGAATGGTCTATATTGCTGACATACTATGTTTATAACGTGATAGATATATATCAACTTTTAAAGCTGAACATATCATCCTTTTTTTTGGATTAAAATCTGAAAATTAATTGGAAATCTACCAGCGTTAGGAGCTCTCTTCCAGACTTGTGTTATGCCAGTGGCCTAGTAATTGGAAGAAGAAAGAAAAAGGAAATTTGGGAGACTATTAGTCTAGATGGCATACTTTTTTTCCTAAAATGAAAATAATAAAAAAAATACAATGACTTTTGGGCTGAAAAACTGTTTGCTGCACATGTTTTATATATATGTGGGTTTATTACACACATCATGTGTCTTAATTAGGTAATTTATATTGTGTTATCCAAAGAAGATGTTGTTCAACTGGGTACACAATAAGTGTTTCAAGAAAACTTGTTAATCCAGTATTTACAGAGATCAGTGCGTGGATACAGAGCAACAACAACTACAGATATATCTGTGCTGGTACAGTTATGGTCTGGATTATGTTCCCTGGAGAGTCAGTGATGTTATGTATATAAATACACTATAGGTAGGGATAAATTGTATTTTTAGTAGGACTTTTTATTTTTAATTCTCTTTCTGAAACTAAATATATTAGCTTTACCCACTAGGCACCTTTCAAGGGAAAAGCAAAAATTTATTGATAAATAAAACTAATCCCAGTGAGGAAAGTTCAGTCATTTTGTTACCTCAAGCAGTTTGTCCTTTTTTAAGCTGTGATGTTTCAGAGGCATAATGGTGATTTGAGCTTGAGATCTCCCGATTTTTTTTCTGCCTTTCCACAAAACATTGATATTTCCTAGGTGCATCTCTTGTTTCCTTGTACTAACCTGATACTGTTCACCCAGAAACTGAATCTAGTTATTGATGGTTATACTAATTGAAATTTCTTAGTTTCTCTTCTGCTTTTTCATTAAGCTGGATTTGAGTTTCACATACCCTTGCAATTACTTTGAAATTCCAAGTCTCCTTGCAACTACTTTGAGAAATCTGAAAGCTAAATGATTCCCAAGTTTAGAATATGATGTTCCCTAGTTGAAAGGCAAAAAGCAATATTGTTATATTTCTATTCTGATGAAATTCATTATGTACAATATAATTTGTGCCTCCATAACAATCTACTCTTCTTCAATTAGGGATTAAGCCAAATACTGTATTTCCTCCAGATCTCTATAGTAATTTTTTTTTTTTTTTTTCCAGTGTGAGTACCGAAAGAATTTGAAGTGAAGTGACTGGCAGTAAAATACAAGTTTACAGAGTTTTTTCTTCTGTTTGTTGTAAATCAACTACAGAACAGCAACCCATGGCATTAGTCCAGGAAACTGAGATTAAGCAGTTAGGAAGTGGGAAGATGAACAGAAAATTGTGTTTGTGAATCTCAAATAACACCTTCATTTGCTATGCAGTGAGGACCTGCTTCAGCTGTCTTTTAAGTCAATGGGAAAATTCCCATTAACTTCCAGCAGGAGTTGGCTCAGACCCTGATTTCTTGCATTTGTGCCCAGTTTGGGGTGGGATACAGAAAGATGCAGTGCATACAGGGAACTGTAACTAATGGGATAGGTCCCAAGTCCCTGAATGCAGTAGAAAATGAAGGTGAAGAAGTGAAGTTATTTATCACACCACATCAGACAGATTTCCTTATTCACAGTGACCCAAGGACATATTGGTGCCCAGGTTGTCGATACTCTATGAGCCCTAACTGCTGTCCACAACTTTCTTCATGTGAGCAATATTTGAAGCGTAGCCTAGGAGAAATCTGTTGTATTTTTCTCTCCTCTTTTCTGTATTCATAAGCCTACAATGTTGTAAGTTTGTACTGTGGGTGGACAAGCAACATCCACTCATATCAAAGAAGACACAAGTACAGATAAATATAACTTTATACATTCATTTTTATATAACTTATGCAAATGTATGTGCAACTTAGTCACAGCCTCCAGGCTGGCAGCAGATTGCTGATGTGGCCATTGTTGTGTAGCTTCGTTTGTACATTTGTGTTGCTGGATGATCTTGGGGCCTTTAAGCAGAGCTTTATGTGTGTATGCTCTGTGCCTGGTAGAGCAAGGTTTGTCTGGAAGGAAATGGCAGGATGGGACAGAGAAAGGGGCACAGTCCCAGCATTTGTTCATCTCCACTGCCAAGTAAGGCTTAGACAAATTGCATGTGGAGGCTCCTTGTGTGTTTTAATCTTGAGGGCATTAGCAAGAAGTGTTGAAGCCTGAAAACTGAGGAATGAACCATGAGAGGTTGCCATGTGACTGCAGTGTGACCCTCAGTATCATCCATCTCAGTTCCCAGCCTGCTTCCTTTAAGAGTGGGTTTGTTGGTCCCCACCTTTTAAATGAGTTAAAAAAGAATAAGTATCTTTCTGCCCATCACATCACTGGTTGCTCCAGGAACGTCTCGTTTCACCTAGCACTTGCTGTTGAATACTAACTGACTATCTTAAAAAGTAAATTAAAAGATGCGGACACAGCATATTTTTGTTCTTGTTTTATGGGAATTTACCTGTTGTTCTCCAAAGACTAAACAAAACCAAAAGGCCAATTTTGTTATGCTGGGTTCAATTGTCCAAATCAGTATTCTTAATATTCACCCTTATTTTAAACGCCCATTAATAACTTGGTCCCTACTGCTTAGATTATAGGTTTTAGTGTATGAATTTTAATAATTCTAATTAATGGTGCTATCTCTAATATTACTTTGTACTTGTGCTCAATCTTTCATCATGAGATCTCAAAGCACTCTATTAAACGACACCAAATCTTTGTAAAGTATATGAATTTTTGCCTATTGGATTTATGTATCAGATAAAAGTAATAAGGAGAATCAACAGTTTTTCCAAAGTTCATTTCAAAGCTTTGCATTGATTGTCTACAATATTTAAACCCTGGGAAAATTAGCCTCCAAAAAAATTTGCCTTCCACTTCTACCCACTAAATTGTGGATGTCTTTACTCCCCATTCTAAATTTCAAGTAGTCTTTGAAAAATTTGTATTCAGGAGTCTTCAAATATGAATAGTGATAATTATATCAATAGTATTAATATGCACTATTAAAAGGCACAAATCTACACTTGTAAAGCTTTCATGTGCTTGCAAACTGAACTTTTAAATAAAAATATGTTTTTAAATCATGTATGTATTACAAAAGTCTGTTAAAACTATCTTACAAAATTTACGTATCCTTAGAGCAGTGATTCATGTTCCTGCTGGGGTGGCCTGGAAGCATATCTGATGGAACAGAACTGCTTAGCATCTTTTGCTGTGTTTTCTCTTCTTGAATTCTCTTGTGGGGTGGTTTGAGGGGTGTTTTTCAGGTTTTTATTTTTTTGCTTGTTTGTTTGTCTGGGTTGTTTTGGATTTTGTTTTTTTTTTTTTTTTTTAATATTTGTTTCCTGTGTATATATTATTATGTGACTTTTATGGCAGTGAAATTCCG